AAGCAGTTGACGCAAGACAATGACAACTACTCACCGCGAGAAATTCGACATTCAGAATTTACTTTACAATTCACTTCAGATATAAGGTATGCCAAAGGCAACAAAAATGAGGCAGCTGATGTTTTGTCTCGTATGCACGTAAACGTTTTAGAACGTGACCATACTGACCTAGCAGAAATGGCAAAGTTGCAGGTGAAGGATGAGAACTTAAAACACTTGAAACGTAATGTAAACACCTCATTACGTCTTGAAGAAGTGATGCTTGATGACTCTTTATCCATCACTCGTAAAGTATTCAAGATTAAATCGTGTCCGTTTGTGGTTTAGGTCCTCCAAACTTCTGCTGAATGTTTGTTGGCTAACACCATTAATATGAAGCAATGATTTACTGTAATTATTTGTATCTAGATTTATGAACACATAAACCTTTGTTAACTGCAAACCACTTCTTCTGACCTAATAGTTATTTATTTAGGTGTAAACATAATCTTGGCTATTGATTGATGTTGTGTGGAATTCTCTGATGAGTTTCTACCCTTTTCTCCTGCTTTTAACTGACTTAAAGTCTCTGGGAATTCTTCAGTACGTGTGTACTTTTTCGCTCCATCAAACTAACAGTAATTGATTATAGAGACAGTATTGAAGTAGTGCACAGAAAATCTTAAGCATTGTTCAACCCATCACGCAATCGGTCCAGTCTCGAGGATTTATTTATCACAACTAACTAGTGGTAGAAAAGAGAGATTTATCTCACTAGACAATTGACGAGCTTGAAGCCAGTGAAGGCATTGTGTATCTGCTTTGTATTTCTAATTCCATGTATCTATTTTTTACCTTACTGAATGTGATGTATTTTTAATCTATTGAGAATAGTAGAAAGTAGGGAGACCTTAGCTATCAAGTTACGACAAACTACATCAGACTGCTATAGGGTTTTACAGTCAAGACAAGAAGTTATGTTGACCAAGGGTCATTCATTGAAGTATTTCGAAGTTGAAGCCAATAAACTAGTAAGTCTGTGAGCAGCAGGTGTCATTCAAAACTGTCCTATACAGATATGTACTTCAATTAGTTGAGACAATTCGACAAATATGAAGTCTCCACTCAACACTGTTCTCCATCGGCCTCTAATTCGAAAGTATGGAGCACGTAAGAGTGGTTAGTGGCTGGTATTTATATCCACCAAAATCAAATCGACAACTTCTGTACTAATGGGTGAGTTATACTTTGTGCCATTTAGTCCTTTCATTTTCATAAGTTTTAATTCATTCATACATTCGCACTATTGTATTCATGTGCGATTTGACACCTAGATTGATTCGTATCAAACCTACAACCATGCACTACTTGATTCGACAGTTGTACATTTAGCCGTTTAGCATACAAACACAGATTGTGTAGATTCAGGTTGGTTTCCATGACCAGATTTTCAGTGCTTCTGGTACTTGTATGAGCAACACCACAGGTATTGGACAGGCATATTGCATTACCCCTATCTGATATTCAGTTATGTGACCCCCACATACCTAACAAAGCTGCTATGAAGAATGGCCACACATATCATCAACGTATAGATGATAATCTGTTAAGTCACTTTTTATAGGCATATAGACAACTATCACCTTCGTGCTGTGATTATACCCGTATGTAAAGCGAGCTAAACTGGCTCGGAAAAAATGTTACTTGAGATTCTAAATGGCGGGACTAATACAGCTACCACAATATTAAGAGCAGCTAAGTTATGATAGTGTCCGAGAGCGAAGCCGTACAGGTGGTTGGACGAGTTATGGTAGTGGTAGTGTCCGGCTGGTGAATGATCAGTAGTCCATCCTTATGCTGCCCTCCCTGTCTGAAAGGAGAAGGGTTAAAAAATCTCTCTTCCAGAAATAAAACACTCCATGGCGTGTAGTCCTCCAGAGTTGGTATCATACGTTTATGTCTGGGAGTGACAAATTCGAATCTCAGGGTTGTAAGTGAACAACCACAAGCAGATATTCTATGTGCTCTGAGGTCACCCACCACTACTACTGTCAACCCATTTTCTCTTTGAATTACCGTGAAGTGAAACAACTATTCCCCTGCAACCTTCAGGCAGAATACAAATCTCAACTTAGTATTCCCTACACTTCCTTACGCTTATTTCCTCCCTTACCTTAGCTTCCTGGTAGCGACATTCAGCCGCCTATAATTTTCAACGCTGCTAAAGATCAAACTACTATCCCACGTCATCTAAACCTTTCTTCTAATTTCGCGTTGGAGCTTTCAACCTCCGAAACCTATAACAAATCGTACAAAAGATCCCTCTTAATAAATCTCTAGAATATTGAATCGAGTGTATAATGCGTTTTTGAGACATGCTTACAGGATCCAAATGAGGTTACTCACTCTACCTCACCTGGTCAATGCGGCGAATCCGTAAAGGCTAGCTCCTATGGACAATGTGATGCATGCATAGCACCAAATCCTAGAGCAGAAAGCGCACTTATCGACTGGAAACCAGTCAAAACAGCGATCTATACGGTGTCCAACTGAATGGATATGTAATAACTGGGAAAGATCGTGAAACTTGTTGTGGTCAATTCGTAGTCTCCGCAGTTTCAATAATACAAAGGTCAAATTCCATTAAAAGCTATCAATCTTTCCTGCGTTAAGCCAATAGTTTAGAAACAATCATAATAGAAGTTGAATTCAATGCTAGAGTAAGGAGGGTGAGCCAGTCGGAAAGGCATCTGGGTGGTATCTATGGGATCTTGTGTCAACAAACCAACAATGGTGGTAGTCTCTTGCAATTTTGTTCTGAAAACCACTTGTTTATGACAAACACTAACTTCAAGTATGAGAAGAGACACTAACTTGGAGCCCACCAAAATCAAACCAATGGTTCACACCAACAGATCATATTACTGGTAGCCATCGCTGGAAGATTGTCGCTCTTCCCAGAGTACCTGCTTGAACTTCAGTCATGCGTCAGCACGAGCACGTGTATATATGCACACTACTGGTTACAGAAAACAGTAGTGAAGTTTCTTTCTGTTCGACTACTGGGTTAGAACGTCAAGTGTGCATTAAGGGAGGTTACAGTTCAGGCACTTAGCACGGCAGCAATTATCTTCCTGATGAAGCCCGATGTGGTATTATGTCTGCTGTAGAAACAGAGATGAGGAGAGTTGGTAACCTAAATCCAAAGGTTAGCAAAACCCAGTGAATTTTCAAAACGCCATTCGAACTGAATGCTGAGAGAAGACCCATTCCAGCTGGCTGTGACAACAATGGCGAGCGAAGGTGGCTGAAATGAAAACTAAGAGTCAAAACAGTGATGGAGAGAAGTGGTAGGTGGTGAAAGCCACCTAGAAGACACTATCATTAGGTAATGTCCTGCAATTTCTTAAGCTTATTAGGTATAGTGGTAAGAAGAAGACGATGAACAATGGGTCTATCATCGTGAGTTTATGTTAACCTTACAGCATAGAGAGCTAATGTGCTGGGAGGGAACACTTTGAGGTATAGCTGGACTGATCTACACCAACGCTCCAGTCACCCATAATCTACTCGAAATATAAGTGGTACATGGAAAATACAGTCGATGTACAACTGTGTGTGTAGTCAAAATGAAAGAGTGCACAAGTGGCGACACAGGGTATTGAGTTAATCCCCTTACTTACAAAAATAACCCAAAATAATCTAGGAGTCACAGCCTAAGAACCGAAGAGTAGTGTCACCAATATGCCGATCAAAGATTTAACAATTTATGGATGACTCAACATATTTACTGAAGTCATCATAAGCAGCTTAAAAACTTGGAAATCTGGTCCAGTCTATATTATTCAGACAAGCACTGAGTTTTACCAGAGAGGTAAGTACGATCGACCAGGAAATTTTGGGAGCCCTAATCATGTTTTATTTCTAGAAAGGTTGCATTCACTTAAGACAGACTTGTAGTTACATTTTCGCTCAAAATAATTTTCTTTGACGAAGAGCTATCGAATCCTTATGGTTACGATTTCAAAAGAAAATGTAAGAACTAATGCCTGTTGACACAGTCGAAAATTCTCACAGGACACAGCAGGTTAGTGCAGAAGCATAGGACAGACCACGGCGCTGTGGAGTAATGATTTTAACATCGAGTGGTCAAAAGGAACCAGTGCAAGCATTGTTGATTGGTTCATTTTGTGCAGGAATGAACGAAAGCAAAGATTAAACATTTTCATGGCCTTTTGGAGCCAGTATCAGAAAATAAACTGGAAATAAAACTTACCAAAGTTAACTGCGTTTTAGGAGGGTTAGAAATCAACCAAACATTCGCGGAATGGTATCTTGTGAAGCCTATTTTTTACGTTATCACCGGGACTCTGTTAAAAGACAAGGACCAGCATTTTTATCTTGGTGTAAGTTTAACAATTTATGAATCTTTTTCCAGTCCATTCATATCAGACAGGTTGAGAATGTTTCTTCAGTTTACATTTCGGATTGAAATTCAAGAGGTATCTGAACTCTTAAGAAATATGAAGGTATGTAATTACGTTCTGTTTAACTCACTTATATTGTACAGATTTAGAAACGGCTTTGAGTACTTGAAAGGTTCTGGTGAAGTGAACCTGTACAACAGTCTGTAAAAAAACCTATCCCTTTATTAGGAAAGAATAACCACTGGCATTAGCAGTTGCCATGCTTATCAAGGTACGATATGTATGGGATGCTAATTCGTACTTTTCAAATCCTCAAGCAAACTGAAAATAAACACTGTGATTTGCAGAGACAATGAGAAAATTGTGTCAACGATTAATCAAGTTGGACATTCGCATAAATATATTAATAATAACAGAAGTCCTCTAAAACAATCCATTGTTGCTTGTAAAACTATAATTACAACTTATGTTGCATACACAATTGACCTTGCATTAAAACAGCTTACCTACCTCCTTTTTGTGATCTGAATGATTATAAACTTTGCTGCAAGCTGTTAGTATAACATGACGAATACACAACAACAGAATGGTTATTATTGATAGATACTGAACAGTTCTACATAGTTACATGTGACGTACGAAAGAAAATTATCAAGAACATTATCACAAAAAATTGGTTCATAAAAATGATGGATAAGGACTAGCAGTGGAATCCAGGAAGTGTGTTTCGTCCCATTTAGGACTTGTCAGCTGGATGTACCTCCCTCTCAGTGAGTGTTGTTCCCACTGAGACCCGAAACCGCGATCAGTCTCTTCAAAGCGTTACATCACGAGGCCATGATAGCCATTCTTTGTACGATGGGCATAGTATAGTTATTACAGCTTGTAGTTTCTTATCGTTCTTTGGACTGAAGGGATCGGTTAATGTTACAAGTCATAATAACTTAACTATACTTTACCCATCGCACAAGGAATGACTACCGTGACTCAGTAGCCTAATGAGATAACGCTTTGAGTTTTGAAGTAACTGGTCGTGAGTTCAGGTCCAAATGGGAACACCATTACTCACTGAGAAGCAGGTAAACCTACCTCATGCGTACCAAATAGGATAAAACGCATGTCCTGGATTTCATTGGTAACCATTATCTATCATTAATATCAAGTCGCAAATACTAGCAATATCTAGGCATCTGCACAGGAGCCGTTGTGCTGATACGGACAGACCGATTCGTTCCAACGATTGGACAATACAATTAACAGAAAGTAAACCATACTCGCTGCACAACAAGTGGCTATAGTAACTCAGTGTCCTAGTGGATAACGCTGTGGCGTTTGAAGCGATCAGTTCCTGGCTCAAGTCCATGTGGGAACGACATCGCTCACTAAGGAGCAAGTAGGATGAAACGTGAGTCCTGGATTCCACTGCTAACCACTATCCATCAATAATATTCAAACTGAAAGTACAGGCCGACCAATTCGATACAATTAAGGAGAGGAAATGATAAGCTATAATGTCGATTTTAAAAAAATGCTAGTATCGAAGAAATATAGTTCCAATGAAAAAAGCACTGATTTCTTGGATCATTTTATTTGAAATTTGATGTTGATGATGAGCAAAGTATGGAATAACAGTAAGGAATTTTATATTATTTTCGAAAATGTACTCAAAGGTTCTACATATAATATATATACGCACCTACAAGCAATCATGTATACACAGATACACAGAAGCAATCATAAACCCAAAGGTGTAAGTCAAAAAGAAAGTGTCAATTGAAATATGAATGAATTCGGAAGAAAAAAACAACCACGATAGATGCACAGCATAATACATAGCGTATTACATAACACAATACATCATCATACACATATACAATTATTATAGAGATAAGCAAATACACACAAATATGTGTGTATACATTTATATGAGTAGAGTATGTTAGTAAGTACTTACAAAAGAAATTAAGAGGGTATATGAGCAGTTTAATGATCACAAGTACCTAAAAAAGGATTAATAAACAAAGCATAAAGGAAAAAAAAAGTTCACATGAAAAAAAGACACAATACAACACAATAACAAGTGTCAGGAGAGATGTATTCTTATAGAAATCTTAGTGAAATAAAATAAAATCAATTGTTATAAAGCGAAACATTGATCTAGGTGCGAAAGGTAAGTACATCTTACAAATGTTAATAAAAATGAGGTTCAACTTGAAGAGAGAGGGGAGGAATTGATGTAAAGGATTCATTTTGATACAAATTTTCTTACAAATAAGAAACCTAGTCATTAAAATGATATTAACACATAGGTTATGATTGTTTAAATGGTTCAATTTGAAAAAAAAAGGCAAACAAATTGAAGGAAGACGAACATTAAACACATGAAATAATATATATCGCCAATGTATGCACTTGAAATGCTACAACATAGAGTCATACATATCAAAATGAGAAAGAAAATAAAAGAGAAAGCAGAAAGAGGCTAGGAAGAAATAGAGAAAGAACTGAGATGAATAAAGGGTGGAGTGGTGTGAAGGGGAGGGAAGGGACGGTATGAGATCATGAACAGTACATAAACTCTTCTCTGCAAATTACAACTAAGTATGTTTTAGCATAGTAAACCAGATATGTGGATAAATAAATGAGCTAAAAACAAACTTAAAGAGAAGACAAAAAACAAAGGAAGTAAATTTCTGCATCAAATAGGATGAATGACAAGTAAATAAGCTTTGTTTAATTCGGTAAAATGGGAGTCAGGGGGGGGGGGCGGCGAGTAGGCAGTACATACAAATTATATTATACAAATACATGTTGTAATGCTTAGTTATTGTGTATTAAAGAAAAACAAGCATATTAATTTGTGATATAGAGTTGTTAAAAATCTATTCAGAGAAAGAACACGGTAAAAACTTTTCAGGTGTGTTAGGCCAAGAACAGATATCAACACGATCAGCATAATTCAAATTGAATGGATCTTTGTTATTCAGTTCAATATTCACTGAATAAGATAATTTCTTTCGCCAATTATGAGATCATAAGTGTATTTGAAAAACAAACAAACAAAACACAAGGTGAATAAGAAAACATACAATCAATTGATCGCAGGATGATTAGGTGAATGTTTTAAAAACGGAAGCGAAAAAGAAAACACACTTGAATAAGGGATATTGAACTTCAACTTATTGTATAAGTGTAAGTATATTTCAAGTTATATTGTCAGCTTGATGAACAAAATACTTTACCATAGATTTGAATGCATTACGATTGCCTGAAATGCGTTTAAATCGAACACCATAGACAATTGGCTTAGCTAACTGGAATATCTCTAAATCCCAAATTAATGAATTGACTAATTGTGAAGGATTATTATTTGTAGGCGATTGATGCTGTTGATTACTTTCACTATTATTATCAAAACTATTATCATAAGTATTGCTATTTTTAGGATGATGTTGATAAGAATTTGTCAATTTTGTACAACGTAAACGATATGAACTGAGAAAATTATATGAACATTGATAAGATTTTATTATTTCAATCATTTGTATAAGTAGAGTGTGTGGATCAGAACCAGTGATAGGAAGACGTAGAACAAAGTGTAAACGACGTGGTTTCCATAGTTTTTTACTTTCATTCTGTCCATAATAATAGTCTGATTCAAACATGGATGAAGCGGCTCTTGTATTTTTTGTCGTTTTTGTTGCTACCACCGCAGCCATCGCAGCTGATGATGATAACTGTGGTGCAATTGATGTAGTAGTTATAGTTGATGCTTTATGTTTGTGCAGATCGGATGAAGTCATGACTATTGGTCGTGAAATTTTTGGATCGATTAATGGAAGTTCCATTACTGTTTTTTCTGTAAAAAATAATTTGTTTTTAAAATTTTTATAAACAAGAAGATACATAGTAAGGCAAAATAAACTGCAAGTTATGCATTACTACTATTAGTATTGGCATATAAGTAGTATATAAGTAAGAGCTGATGTTCAAAACTTTGACCAAGATATTATTTATCACCTAGCCAGCAAATAAATATTAAAATAAATTAATTGTTAGTGAAGAGATAAACATCACCAGTAGTAGAAGACACACATAAGTGAATGAGTTAGTGTTACATGTGAAAAGATTTCAACATAAATATCATCTTCATAAAGAAAAGAGATGATAAGACATGAACTTCAGGGTGTATTTTACATTTAACAATGTGCTGATAGAAGAAAAAAGAACAGAATGTTTGAGTGAATATAGAAACACTTTAAATTGTTGTTATATGTACAAAGCATTGGTGCAGAAAAAACTTGAAGGCAAATAGAAGAGGGGATAGATAATAAGTCGAGAATAATAATAATAATAATAATAATATATTCAAAATTTGTTGTGGGACAGAAAGTGAATCAGTCAGTAGGAAGTTTGTGTATTCTAAAGAAAGAGCATTTATAGCAACCATCAAGTGAACTCTATGATTTTAACCAATCATAATCAAGATAAATATATACTGCTGAAGAGTACCATACTAGGACAAAACAGCTGTCCAGTGTTTCCAAGTTTCCAATAGTTCTCCAACTGATGTCATTCAGTGATGAATACGCACTTAAAAGTATATACTTTTAGATACTGGTTAGACGAACACTTATACAGAGATGAATTACTAGCATAATTGTGACATTATTTTCAATCACCTCCTGTAACCAAAGATCATAATAGTTGGGATACAGTAAAATAAGCAATATGTGGTTTCACAATATTCATTCACCGATTTCACCGTCTTCATTTAAAATGTGTACACACTTTGTATGGACATCGATAATCTGGCAGCGTTATCAGGTGTCAGCAATACTTCTGAGACGTCTATAACTAACTACTTGAAACCTGTTTCTTAGCTAGCTAGATTGTTGACAAATATGTCTTAATAATGAGTTCTGAATATCCACAGTATGATAAGTTTTCACATAACTTGTTGGCATCGTACTCATCAATACTAAGTACTAGGAAATTAATGAAGATTTTTGTTGATAATTCTAGACAATAATTGATTTCTCTGCATATTTTCAACTTATCAAAGGTATAAACTTTACACAAAAAGGTTATTACATGATAACTACGATACCGATAAGAATAGAACACATTAGATCAACTATTTTTTTTCAGGAAGTAATCATTCTTTATTTATAGATGATGAAATTTATACCAAAGCTAAATATGACTTATCTAGTGATGTTTGCAATTTCCCGTTGGTTAATATAAGAAACCATATAGATCGACATTTGTTGGTATATGGCTTTCTCCAACAGATGCATCAATTCCACTGTCAGCTACCATCAAGGAAACAGAACCGATATGAAACTTGATGCAATATCAAGACATCCGTTCAAGGAGATCATACGCAACAGAAATGGGTTAATTCGATCAAGTATAATAATTATAAAAAGGGAAGTAACACGTATCCACAAATAACAATGGATATCCATTGCACAATAAGTGGCTCCTTTGATGTAGTAGCTTAATGAATAAGGCCCTATCATTTGAAAAGATGGGAGCGAGTTCGAGCCTCTGTAAGAGAACCAACCACTTACTGGCAGGTATGTACATCAAGCTGACGATTATCAGACAGGATGAAACATGTACCATCGATTCTATTCCTGACCACTATCAAACAAGTCACAATGAATGTGAATTAGTTAGAAAATTTCACATATGGTCGAAACGATTTCAGCTAACAGTAAAGCAGAATGGAAATCACCTAGCATTCAGATGAAGTTATTCAACATCAGTTACAGTTTAACATGCAAATATTTTGACGTAGGTATATCCTTCCTTTCTTATTTGTGCCAGTTGTGTCTTGTTCCCATTAAAACAACTGAGTGAAACTGGTTACCATATAAATTCCATATATCTCTGCGTATTGTTAATCTGCTTAGAGAGTGTCAGCTTGGTGATCACATCGTAAAAAAATGAATAGAATTCGATTAGTACTTAGACCTAGACAATATGATTTTGAAAGATACTTAGTAACCACGTGAACATTCTTGCGGTAGGCAATGAGTCACACTTATTGTGTCAGAGCCAATGACACCATCTGGTTACTGAGACATACGCAGGTGGAATAGGGTTTGAACCCGTGATCTATCGCTTCGCGTTCCAGCGTCTAGAGCAACATACCAAAACCCTATGAATCGGTTACTTTCTAGAGACCAACCAGTATATCTAATCAAGTCCAAAATCGCCCAGTGATAACATCTCTAATTACCCGACTAGTTGGCAGGGTTTCGTAGGCTATGAGGAAATATCAATTCCATGGAGGTTCACAGATATACCTTGCTGACGACGAGTGCCGAAAAGCATGCATCCTAGGTCAAATATGGGGCTTCATGCTGATTGCCATCTTACATTGAAACTAAGTTTATCAAACTACATGTCATTATCAGTAAGTCTTAAACCCACTGTCTGTAAACATAGTTAGCAAAATATCTAGAAGAAGTTGGCCTTGAAAGTTTTATATAGCTTTGAAAAACACACCAAAAACCAACCATATAAACCTAATTATGAATTTGACTAATGATATCATAGATTTTGTAGCCGTCACAACAGATATTAACAGGAAACTTTATTTTGAGATAATGGAGAATATTTGTAGCTCAGGAAGAGAATTTTGATGGTATTGTGTTGTCTGAGCAGGATGCTTTAATCGTGAAGTTGTCATTATCATTCTAGACAACATCACAAGTACAAACTTCAGAAAGAAGTGAACTGTAGGGTTTTCTCCACAAGTTTATTAGATTGTCCTGATGATCTTGTGTGTGACTGGTTATTTGTCCAAAGTCCTATCATTCTCTCCATATTTATTTCAACTGAGTGTCTTTCTGACCTGAACTTTAATCTTTCTGGTGTTTTTTTATTCATCGTCAACCAAGAAAACTAAAAAACAGATTGTCTTACCCTCATGAAGAACGTCTTCGATATCACGACTATATTTATTATTGAAGCCTTTTGGGATCTCTGTAGCTTACAAGCCTCTGTTTCTCTCTGTTATGCAGACCAGAAGATGCAATAGCAAAGAAAGGCAAAATATTATCTACAAAATAAACTGCAGAAGAAACTACACCGGAAAAAGTGGTTCCTCTCTTCATGTCTGTCTAATTTGAACATCAACTAGAGATGAGGTGTGCTGACACATCTTTGTTCATATCAAGGCATACGGAAAACTATGGATATGAATTTGATTGAGAAAATGTAAAAATCCCAGGTAGAGGAAATACAAAGAATTTTTAGAAGCTTAGTATTCAGGTCAGTGTCAGCGATCAATAGACATATTGACTCAATCTACCAAATAATAAAAGATATAAGAAAACACCAAGATGATTAAAGTTCAGGTCAGAAAGACAATCAGTTGAAATAAATATGGAGAGAATGATAGGACTTTGGACAAATAACCAATCACACACAAGGTCATCAGGACAATCTAATAAACTTGTGGAGAAAACCTTACGGTTCACTTCTTTCTGAAGTTTGTACTTGTGATGTTGTCTAGAATGATAATGACAACTTGACGATTAAACCATCTAGTTCAGAGAATACAACATCAAAAAAAAAAATTCATTCATGGTGAGAAATTGAAAGGGCTAATGTAATGAAAAAGTCAGTATAACCTGTTTATCATCATTGCACAACTTGAACAGATGCATATATGCCATTTGGAAAGAGTTAGATTAAAACATCGGTAATACAGTGAGAATATTTCGTAACCCACAGAAACTATACTTGCATTTATTGTAATAGTAAACTGAAGTAAAAATGAGGCGAGAAGAAGGGTGATAAAAGAATAAGATGCGTAATTGGATATCTCTCTATGTGTTAGGATGTAATAACTAGAAGAAGAGAAACAAGAAGGAGATGACGGTATATCATTACAAAACAAATATGTTAATATAGGATGGAGGAATATTCACATATTTTCGTCATATAACAAACGAAAACAATCATTAACTTAACTGTGCTGATGGGCTATCAATAAGATTGATTGGACCTACTTAAGTGAAGACTTACACGAGAACAACCGATATAATAACGCCGATAATTACATCAAACTAGTAGAACTAAACAATCAAAGTAACAATAACAACAAAGTATGTAGACATACAAGTGGGGTAGATAATCAACCAGTTAGCTAATAAACAACAGCTAGTTAGTTAGTTAGTTGATCAAAAGTCCCCCGTAGGGAACCCTGGTTAACCTACGTAGAATTCTGGCATGTCATCACTACTTCTCAGTAAGGCATGTCTGCAACCTCAATAGAAAAGTTTATCATAAACTGTGAAGGTGTGGAGGAAAAGATAACTTACTTTGACTACTACCACCACCACTGCCACTACCAACAATGGTAGAGTCATTCACTGGTATACTGGAAGACAAATCGTAACCATACGGTTTTGATTTACCTTTCACAAACTGATTCGAGTTATTATCACCATCACAAGCGTTTATTTCATTTGATGATGATCTTTTCGATTTTGATACATTAGTATTCTTGTAACGAACAGCAGCACCAACAGAAATTTTATGTTGTTTTTCAGACTCCATAGTTATCCAAGGATCACGATTCGGTGAAATAGTACATTTCATTGTATCATCATCGTCACCAGTGTTGTCTGAGTAGTCATCCTCCTCTTCATCATCATCAGAATGACCATGATGATGACGATGACGACAAGTAAGCGGTGGATGACTAGTTGATGATGATGATAACAGTAATGAATGTTGTCTATTGGATGAATCTGATTCTTCTGTTGTTTCATCTTTTTCATTGCTCTTCAACAGACTTGTTTTATCTGATTTAGAATTTATATTATTATGATTATTACTAGTATTATTCCGGGATTTTCGCATACTAGAGATATTTCGATTATGAGTTGTGTGACTATGATTAAAAGTGAAAAATATGTAAGCAATAGTAATCACAATGGAAATTAATAATAATAACAATCATAATAATAACAGTAATGATAAGCATAGCAGTTATGTAATTATTTTGGATTAGGGAAACAGAATAAGACAAGTAAAGACTCAGAAGAAAATGACAGAGCTTAGAATAACGGATAAGTATTTACGTATACCATTTTATTGTTAAACTGGACCAAAAAACTTGAATATCGAATCTCTACGCCACTATGTGCATGGGTGTGCGTGTGTGTGTGCATAGGTGTAAGAGTGGTTGCAATAACAATTACAAAGTGTTAGACTAATGGTGAACAGTTGAATAATTAAACACTCTATTTTGTTGAACAACCTCTGTCTAGGACTGTTATAGTTCTTTATACTGATTAGAAACACTCAAAGACACATGGAATACTTCTTTGTCCATGTTACCTATACGTACTCGTTTCTACAAATGTCAAAGTGTTATTCAGTAGCTTACTGAGTCCTAACAGCCAGTCCTTATGTTACAGACATGAGTTGACATTAGAGCACATGGTTCATATCATTGGTATCAAACTGAAATCGCCAGAAATATCAAGGCAATAGCACAGAAGTCTATATACTACCAATAGTGGCCAATATATTCGATCCAATCAACGATGAGGAACTTAAATCTATTACATTAGAGTGGTTATAAGTTAGATAGAAGAAAACACAGATGAGAAGGGAAAAAAAGAAATTAGGTAGATACCTATACATAGTCACTTTTATTCAACAAAGTCATTTTTACAACTGTAAACTTGAAAATATATGATTCAAAGGATATAAGCTGGCAAAAAGATTCCCATTTCATTAAAATAGGAAGGCTCTCTCATTATCGTATTCATTATTAACTGTTCTATTCTGCAATGTGCTGTTAAAATCCTCTATCAAACAAAGAAGTCAGATAGAAGGATTAACAAGATGGCTGAGACAATCTCAAGTACACCACTAGTGTCGTATTATGAAAGATACTTACGAGAACAGCTTTAACATTTGTATCCTAAAAGGAATCTAGGCAAAAACAATCAGCATAGATGTACACAAGTACTCAGATACTTAAATGTACATCCACAAGAAATAAATTATATTGTGTATTTACGATTTGTAGATTTCAAAAATGACCTTTTTACAAGATATAAGTAAACATTCTTTTTAAAAGTGATGAGTAAGTAAATTAAACATTGAATAAATAAACTAACTAATTTATAAACAGTTTTGATTCACCTAACAGCTACAATATCAAACAGTAACATAAATTGATATAAATCAAGGAAAATACATTGAATACTCTCAAATAGATATTTAGAAAAAGACTGATTGAGCGAAGAAATATATTCCTTTTCAATTAGGTCTTCATTTTGGGCTCTACACCCATCACGGTTGAACAACAGACAAATTAGAATTATAAAGAGCTCCATACTTGCACACTTAGTTGACACAGGACATCAAGTGGTTACTGAAAAAGCCTTTAAAATCATCCATCAGATTCTAATTAATTTACCTCATGGATTACGCACTCGGTTACTTCACATAGCAGAGGCGATTGCAATCCACCTCTACAAACCTAGCCTTTATATTCAAAAGAAGTTTGTTCGACCACTTTCATTATCGTGGCTGTCAACATGATGTAACTTCTAGGTTTACTTTGTACACCTCTTCCCCTTCTTGTTTCTATCAATATTCATATTTCCTATTTCAGTAACTCTATTGATTATTTACATCATTATTACCGAAACATCACCACGTGATTGGTTATTTGATTAAATTGTAAAACTACATATTAGTGTAGAGGCCAAGATGAAGACCTAACTGAAAGGGAATATATTTCTTAGCTCAACCAGTCTTTTTATAAATAAAGGAAAAGTGCTTGCTTGCAAAAATGATAAGAAAAAATCTCGTTGGACTATCGATCCCTCTTCAGTTACTCTCCCTTTTAACAGGTACTAATCAGCAACATTTGGCTTCTTCTAAAACACGGACATATAAACACCAAACTTCTGCTCTATCTGCATACTTCTACATCTTTTCAATAGACAACAAAGTGAAATTCTTACATTATAAATGTGTTTATCTCTAATTGCATTAAAAATATGGAAAAAAATAATAACAACAGCAGGGGAAATAAACTTTATTTTGTAACGGTATACGCTTATAATATACTATTCTTCAGGATAGTTTAACCTAGTTACGAAGAGGAGAGAGAAACAAGCCAGCTAAGGTTACGACTAGCGATAATATTAATAACAACAATAGTAATAATAATAATAATAATAATAATAATAATAATAATCGTAATGACCTAATAACGTAAAAACACGAAGGAATCACAGGTGATTTCATCAATTAAAACGGGTTCTCTTTATATAAAAGGGAGGTTAGTCGTTATGATAGACGTAATTTACTTGTGTGTGTGCGTGATAACGAGGAACATATTGCTTCTCATGAAAAATAGAATGATCTCATACGAAAGTTTGATTCCTTCCTGATCGAAGTTACTTCAGCCTGGATTATTTACAAATCAATCCTTTATCATATATATCTCACAACAACCACATTGCCTTTCTCTTATTTACTTATTTAGAATTTTAAGGAAAATCGTCCTCATCAGACCAATCATTAATACGAATGTGTGTATGTGTGTGTGTGTGAGAGAGAGAGAGAGAGAAGGAGCAATGGAATGATTTCATGCGAATTTCAATCTTTCAAACAACTTCAGTTGTTGTTTTTTCAAACAGCAGTAATTTATCATCTTATTTGAAGTTAAAACCTGTGAGGATTAGAAGTACTTTACAGACAATGATGCAATCATGAGAAATTCGCAAGACTTATACGAAGAAAACAAAGTAGAAAGCATTAAATACGCGGGTTATGCAGCAAGAATTCTAGCATAGAAAAGCATACATCCAGTTGATGAGTCCCAAATAGGATAAAACGAGGGTCCTGGATTCTTCTGCTAGCCACAACCAACCAAATTATCATACAAAAAAAGTTGTAATTAGCAAATTGAAGCCGAACAATGTGTGTAGATAAAAACTACTCATCGTGATCTGTAAATTTGGCCAACCAGATCAAAGTAATCTGAACACCGGACAAGCGTTTCAATCGTACGGGAACACTCTTATCAGCTGTATGTACCTGATTGAAATGGTTCAGATAAAGTGAATCCGGCTGGTTAGCTAGCTTGCATAGATTGTTTGGCTTTAAATGGTTGGACCGATTTACAAATTATTTCTAAACTATTCACGATCTACCTTTGGATTTCCCACAGTTAAGTAGTTTTTTTTAACTATCCCACCATGGTGTCAACAGATATCGCCGCTGAATAAACCACTGACGTAAGTTGTACTACACATTTATTTCAGTATCAAAACATGATTGTTTGAATTAGGCACTAATTTCAAATTGTATTAACTAATATCTTTATTGTGGAGTATTTTGAATTCTACTTATATTGACAAATCAACAATACAATACCGTTTAATAGATTAATGACTAAAATGGGTGAAAAAAAATTTATACTTTGCTCACAACTTGGTACTATTGACTAACCATCTCGAAAGTCTAACAGAATGAACATTAAAAGACCAAACTGTTGGCCAACTGATTGTGTTTATATAACACTGAAACTCCTGGTATTGTGGAAGGGGTTGGTGAGATGAGTCGAATTCCAGCACTGTTGATTCAAATGTCCGATGTGACTATGGACAACAAATAATAATGTTCGAAACATAATGCAGTAAATGATACTGTTTTAGTATATGTGATCCAGCTAACAAATCGACTAAAAACCGACTATAGTATAATTGTTTTTTTTAGGATAACGTCGTTGATTGGACCAAATTGATCGGTCTCTATTGGCATATGGGCTCCTGTGCATATGTTTGGATATTGCCAGTGTTCTAATTATGTTAATGATGGATGGTAGCTAGCAGTGGAATTCAAGATGCGCATTTCGTCCTGTTCGGGACTCGTCAGCTGGACTCCACTGCTAGCCATCATACATCATTAACAAAAACCGACTATATTCATGTATTCAATAATAAATAATCCAGCATAGAACAATAATGAAATAAGAACAGTTACTGAAACTTAAAACATATGGTTACAGTACTCTGAATGTAAAAATTTCTATGACATAGAAAAAAGTTAATCAATCATAGAGGTCAACATAGCTTCTTACTTATTTATGTAAATTTATTGCTGTTCTATTCGCTATAACAAAATCTGATTTCTACTATCGATACGATTTATAGAATTTCAATGAAGTGCATATAGTTGTTGTTTTATATTCATTCAATGATACAGTGAATTATTCTAAACAGAATTAGTGTGTAGGTGACTAATATCATCTACATTTCTGAAGATATTTAAACCATTGAGATCAAAAATATAGTTTAGAAAAATGGCTGAGCAGTGGTTGGTTGGAATTTCCAACATTTTTAGCTGGTACATGACTACACTGAATGGTCAATGGAGAGTCATACTGTTCACTCTTAAGTACAAACTGATTTATCATTGATAAATCTTCTAATATATGGTAGTCAAGTTGGAAGACTGGTTATCACCGTGCGCTTCGATTGATATCAGAAAGTTCTGTTTGTTGTAGGTTTTCTGTTTATTTCCAGTTGACAAAACATTTAAGCTTGGTTAATATTAATTTTTAAATTCTTACTTCTCTCATAAATCATTGTTTATTTTGATATCAGTCCTTTTTGTATCCACTTGTTCTTTGTATACTACTCTGAAGTAAGGAAACTTGAATTGATGAACTCATTTGCGAGATTCTAAGTTGATTTTATCTTTTTTTTAAACATACGCTTACTAAATTTATGGCATAAAGTAGATAAGTAACTTTATAAGTTCCTGCATTTTTTAGTGCTGATTGGAAGATACAGTGATTATGCGGAGGTTATACCTAAATAGTATTTATTAACATGAGAATAGTTGACAAAAATAGTTCATACCATAATAATAATAATAATAATAATAATGCCAGCAACTCCTCTGAGGAATTTAGTTTCCAGTGTTCGCAAACACTTCCCAGTCTGTTTAAGCAAAGATGTGGTAAAGACCATCGCCAGGTCCATATTAGCACACTTGGTTCCAACCAATTTGAATGAGTCATTTTGCATTCTTTACCAAGTTCTCGTTAATTTGTCAAAAGGCACCCAGGTTGCTGAGAATCTTTCAAACTGCAGAAGCAGTAGCAGTCAAAAATTAAACAATCTAAGTTATATGTTCAAAGAAAGCTAATGTTGCCGCTAAAACTATCCTGACTCTATTCAAGACTCACAAATTTGCTAAGCATCCTAATTCCATATTGTAAACATCCATTCATCCCTAATAATCTGAAATAATTTTATTACATTCTCGTAACCTATTTTGTTCCTCTAGCATAAGTAACATTCTATCAAGTTGTTGTTCTTTGTTTATTGCATAAAACTTTTATGCACATTTTCCTATTGCCCTATTAAACTATCATCTTATAATATTACATACGCCGTATTTAGTTAATTAGATTATGAAGTGAATCCAAGTAGTAAATAGGTTGGACATTACCGTTGATACAAAAATTTCCTGAAGAGAATTCTTCAACTGTATAATATTATTAACAAATTATTAAGCGAAATCTTAATATTATTGACACCAAATTACTCAATATATACCTGTAACTGTAGGATTTTAATAGGACAGTTATCGAGAAAAAAATATTTTTTTTCTCACTCAAATGGCTATTGGATAACAATTCAATTGAACATCAGCTTACAGGTATGTGTATCAGAATGTAAGATGGGCATAAACGGCTGATGATACTATCTAGCAGCTCAAACATCAGTAGACAGTGTAGGATTCAGATGCGTAATCTATCGATCGCAGTTTGACTGCAGAAACACCAACAAAGCAGCAGTTTCATAGTCAGTGAATAATTTTTTGCTCATTTATAAACTTTTACTGACTGACTTGATTTAATATTCATTATTAAAGAATAAAGCAGTTGAAAATAGTGAATCGCAGCTGGTAATAAATACTAAAAAGGGTAAATGATAAGAAATAATACACAAATCGGTTTAATTTTAGAGCTGAATACCTCAAAATAACTCCGTGTACCACCAAATGCCTCTGTATGGGCAACTACACAGCGAAGGTAGACGCATGTGAATCCTTAATTTACACATAGAGGAGATCGACACTGACTATGTTGTCTAGAATGACTGACTGTAAGCAATGCATTTTAAAAAAACTATGAACAATATACGACAGAGTATGACTGCGGTATCAATTAAAGCTGTTACGATTACCTCAGCATATCGAAGGTAATACCAACAATAGGAACCAGAAACGAGAGTAATAATAATAATAATAATAATAATAATAATAATAATAATATACTGTTTGTCATAAAAGCCCAGAAGGTAGAAAGAAACGATAGTAAAATGAACAAAGAAATGTAATATTAGGACTTCTACGATTTATGGAAAAGTGTGAATGTATCTCCATCCTTTTCATCGATTCTATGCTGATATTACTACAAGTCTACAGCCAAAAATTCTCACTATCAGATGGATTATATGAGCTACAAAACTTCTCTATATTTACCACAGTATCTTATGTATAAATCTCCGTATTTATCAGCAGGGGGTTCAATGTCAATCTATCGACTCCCTTTCCTCTTCATTGTGCTCATACGTAATCAGTCAGGCCTATGTCTTTACAGCATATATATAAGGCCATCAAAAATCCCTCTTTGAAATGGCATGTGTTACAGTTGATGAAAATCATCTGCAGATGACAAGCAAAAAAAAATCCAAGATAACAACTAGATTTTCGGAATACCAAAAGAATAGACACTATGTTCATTTTAACAATTAGAGACTGACTATGTAAGTAAGTGTTTTAGTGACAGAGATAAATGAATAATAATTCAATTGTTTATTTATTTTAAAGTAGTTTCCATCTGGAAATGACATCAGTTGAAGAATCATCGAAAACCTGGTAGTACTGGATAATGAATTCATCATAATTTTGAACGGTTTTACAAGGGACCGATCCTAGAATGATCAACTTGTGGCAGGGTGTATTTTATCATCCAACCACCGAGCTAAGATATAAAGGTTTACCTTTTTCTATTTCTGTCAAATTTGCAATGTAATGCGTAACCATTATCTAATATCATTTGATGAGTTTTTTTGTTAAATTTTGAGAGGGTTGTGGAGATTTGGAAATATTTCAAGTTGTTATTCATCCAAGGCTGACATCAGTTGGAGGAACAAAGGAAAGGTAACGCGCTGGTCGCGGAGCCTGAAGGTCGCGGGTTCGATCCCTGCTGGTGGGGTCGTGGGTGCGCACTGATGAGGAGTCCCATACTAGGACGAAACAGCTGTCCAGTGCTCCCAGGTTTCCTTTGTTCCTCCAACTGATGTCAGCCTTCGATGAATAACAACTTGAGTTTTTTTGTTTTTTTCTCCGCGGTTTAGCGAACCTGACAAATCAATGGCTCTCCAACTGATAAGAACTCCTTCCAAGTACATAATATAAGTAAGGTCAATGCATAAAATCCTTTCATATTTGATGGATAGTCAGCGAAAACTGTTATTCAAAGAAATAGCCAATAAAGAAAGCGGATAAAAACTGTGATTGTTCATATAGTCTGTTTGTTAGCACACAGAAAAAAAAAAAAGAACCAACATCAGCAGCAGTAGCACCAACGGAGAAGAAATGCAGTCGTGAATCCAAAAACATACAGTAATGAAAACAAAGTAGGTATACTCAGCTATACAGACACATAAAAATTGCAAAATAAGAGAGCTGCGGCATAGATTATCAGCATTAATACAAGTGTAAATTATCATGTTAGTATTGTGACACTAAAAAGAAACAACAACCAGGCTTTGTGTTACATAAGTGTGTGTAAAATTAGGCACAGGTTAGAAGTAAGAAAAGATAAGCAGAAGTTGTACGGTAAACAGTAGCTGAAAGATGAAGAAGACAATAAGTGGTGCAAATAAGAAAGAAGTAACTTATATAGCCCTGAATAGTTTATTTTGGCTTGAAGAATTTATATGGAGTGATAATGGTCTAACAGCAAAGTTGTGTATTGGCGATAGTACTTGTAATATTATAAAAGTAATATGTTTTTTACCACAGACCAACAACAAATCAACCATTGATATCACCTAATCAATGTAAGGACGATTGTTACGTAAATGGTGGGTGGTTAAGAGCTCAAACTAATTTACTTCCATTTTCGAATTCATACTGTGCAAATACAATTCACTTGCATATTACAAATATGAGAACTTGTCATAATTATTGACGCCTTTTGTTCACAAACTATGATTGTATATAGTTTTAACTGGAATTTAAAGGTTATCACAACAATATGTGTAAACACAACATTATTGTATATGATAAAGAGTTATGCATATCTCAAAAGGGTTAGAAATACTGGATAACTGTTTAAATGTCTGTAAGTAGAGAAGAGTTTGAACTCAACTCATTTTGCTTGAAAGTTGCTGAATAGATTATGTCAATGAATCCCAGTTCTATGAAATCATTTTGTACTATACAGTAAAAACAGATCTGAAATATTGTTCGTACTTATTGAGAGTGGAATCGAAATATGCTCAGTAACCAAGTGGATGCTTGTGCAGTAAGCACTGAATTACAGAAATTGTGTGAAGGGGGTAGGGTGTTAATGATACTACCCAGCTGATCAAACCTAGCTAGGTAGGTGGATGGAGGTTCAAATCTGTGACACATCGGCTAGAATTTGAGTGTCTACACTAATAAACTATATGCATAAATGCATAATCACAGTACATAGAAGTCTGTTTCATTATTACAACAAGTAAATTCTCATCCAATTTGGACTTCTTTTTAAAAAAATTGATAATTGTGTCGTCACGGATATACACCAGCTAAAGACTCATAGAAAGCTTGTTCGGTGTAGGAAAAGTTTCTGTTTCATTTCAATCCGTGATGATGATGATGGTTAGTTAATTAAGTGAATTGGACGTTGATATTTAAAAACATGAAGGTTGAACAGTTTCACATACTTGAAACTATTTTGGAACTATGCCCTATTATAACTACACTTTCAGCAGTTAAATAGACTTAGTGAACAGTGCTAAAGAGGTCAGAAAGAAAGCAACAAGTCCACTAGAGAAGGACAGCACAGTCGATAGATAGATAAATTCACCTTCAAGTAATTTCAGTGAAGCAGTTAATTTTTTCACCCTTCTGCTAAAACAGCCTCCCTTTCATACTACAATTCATTTTAAACATCCATGTTCTGAGCTATAAGTAAGTGGAGTTATTCTGCTATCTCTACGAATAGAAAACAATAACCACGGTCAAATAGATCTGTAAGTTGAATATAAACAAGTAAGATGCTAACTATGCATAAAATAACGATAGCAAATATCGTCTCAATAGGAGAATTAGTGACCAAACAGGTGATAAAGTGTACTTTTTTGCACCATCCAGTTGAGATATATACAACACATACATTGAATTAAAATAATTTATCTTCAATCTAGTGAATGGTACACTTATCACGAAAGATAAGTTAGCAACGAAAAATTATTCTCTGCTTATGGCTTAAGATAAAGGCGCGCATCTATTAGGTAGCAATTGTAGTAGAAAAGTGATAAGAGCAAAGAAGAAAAGATAGTAAAGTAGCTGGATAAAAATGAATTTTAAAGAAAGCGAATCTGCGATTAGATGTTGTTTAAACACACACACACACACGTAAGCGCGCGCACAAACACACATTATTCATCCATTAACACCGAAAATGTGTGTGTATATACTGACGAGTGAAGTGACGATATGCAGTGGGAAACAAAGAAAAAAAAGGATAACCCAACTAACTCACCCTGACTTAAAACGACCACATCGAAAACTTGGTAGATAGAAAATAATCAACGTTTTATGTTATTATTTGCGCCAAGTATATCATGAATCATCACAATAATATACTGAAAAGTGTAGCTATACACCAATATATATATATATATATATATATATATATATATATATATATATATATATATAATGAATGGAGTAAAATCTTAAACTATTTCATATCACTGTGTTTTCCCTTATCCAGTAAAAGATTTACCCGGGCATCAAGGGAAGCAAAGTCAAAATGTACATCAGCTGAAGAAAGCGCTCAATAATTAAATTGATATTGAGGGTTGTATAAAGGATTGATCCTGCAGATCAACTGAAGACTATAGCTGCTCTATGTATTATAGATAAAGTCTACTTGTCAATGGATTCGAGCTTACATGGTGCATACTATTCTACAGTGGATAATCATGTTCATTCTTGAGTCAATAGATCATAGTTAATTCATGCGTCTACTAAGTTAAATCAACAAGTTAATCTCACATCCATATATAAACATATGTAGAAAATCTAACAGGAATGAATATACGTAAAGAATGTCGATTTTACTTTCTTACGATGGCTACGAAGAAAACAGAGTTGAAACATTCATTGATGCATTATCAAGGTCACAGAAAACCACTATTAGGAAACGAAACATTCATATATTATACATCGTTATACGAAGAAAATCAACTTTCGTACTTCGCAATGCATAGACTATAAAAAGATGTCATATGTATGTTCGTGTAGCTTAGAGTACTTTGGAAATGATCATACTGCCGGAGTCATTGGGTTGACATTGTCAACATAAATAAAGCATATACAAACAAGACTGAAGTAACTGAAGGTTAATATGTTAGTTAGATATTTGACTGACAACTAAATTAAGCAGTTGTGACAAGATTCTACAGTTATGCATCACACTTTGAGGTCAACTGTGATTTACAGTAATGACCCATTAGTGGCAAGTAATAAGTTCAAATCAAGTAAACCACACCTTTAAACGAGTAAACAATATTTATTCTGCATAGTTTACAACTTTCTAAGACAATATATTTCATCGCATTATGTTATCGATGTAAGCATAATACCCTACTAGAAAGCAAATAGACGATACTCAATGGTTGATCTAACAATTCGATTTTCATCAAGAAAATGAACAAGCACTTAAAAAACATGCCGCTTTTCTGTTGACTACAAGAAATTATCCAACTAACAACAACATGGAGTAAGGATGGAAAAAGTGAAAAATTTAAAAGTCTGATCAAAATGATTTCTATGGGATCACTATTAAGGTCAGTCAGGTAGTATAATTCCCAGATTTTCATAATCCCTTAAGCATAAACTAGTTTTTAGTTCATACTTTAAAGTGTGACGACCAACAGACAGATACGTAATCTATACAACAGTTTCCTAGAAGAAACCAGAAAGATTAGTTAATCATACATTTTTAGGGCTTTTTGGCTCAGCTGGCAAAATATTCAACCCGGAATGCAAAACAGATGTCAACGCTTTGAAACATACTCCGCTGTGCAGTTTCGAATGTTTACGTGAAAGAGTTAGCAGTATATAAGATCAGAATGCATTGTACTGAAAACTATGAGTATATGGAACAAAGCATAGAATGGCAGTCAACTCGACCCAACCTCATCGACTTTGAAAAGACTTTCGACAGTGTCAACTGAGAAGTAATTTGGCAGGCAGCTGCTTCAAAACTACGGTTTCAGTGCCACAAACCTTTATGAGCCTCATTCAATAGATATATGAGGATGTTGATGCTACATGCCAAGTGATTCACAATGGAAAGCTCAGTGATGTCTTTGAAAGGAAAACAGGAAGGAGTAAGACAAGGCTGCCAAATATCACTGATCATCTTCCTGATTGTGACCGACTGGACTGGACTAGATCATGCAGCAAACCATGAAGAACGAGAAGAGGGAAATACGCTGGCTGCACCGATGAAAAGACCCCAAAAGAAGATTTGGATTTCACCGATGATGATTTATATCTGATTTCTTGTAGCACAAACTCGAAGATCTACAGGCAAAAAATGACAATTTGACAGAAGAGCCAGCGAAGACGGGACTCTCTTCAAGTGAATGTAGAGAAGACGGAGGTGATAAAGATGTCCGACCAACAACAAAAACATAAATAAGCATCAATCACTATCAAGTGCAGAAATCTAAAGGTAGTAGTCTCTTTCGCCTACCTAGACCTAGGCTAGGCAGCATCGTTTCAACTACAGGTGGCAAAGGCAAAGATGAGGACATCAACGCCAGGATCGGAAAGACAGCAAGACAGGCCTTCATTACCCTGAAACGAGTGTGGAGATCTTGTGCACTCAGCATAAAAAAAAACAAGGTCCGGATTTTCAACACTAATTCAGTCAAGTCAGTGCTTCTATATGGTTCAGAAACTTGGCGCGTTACGAAAAGCATTTCCAACAAACTACAGACATACATCATCAACAGCTGCCTACGCCCGCTCGATGCTGAACACCAGATGGCCAGAATAACAAGAATAAGCAACAAGGAATTCTGGCAGGGCAACGAACCAATCAAGAACCTATCACTCAACAAATATGCAGCAGAAGAAAGTGGAGATAAATTGGATCGGACATACACTGAGAAGACCGATTGGGGACATCACGCGCCAGGCCAGGCAAGACCGTCGAGTGGGACCGAAATGGGAAACGACGAGTTGGGCGTCCAAGGCGAAAGTGACTTGGAGGAGATCAAATGAGGAAGAAATGAAAGTTTGTTGGCAGTTGTGGAGCCAGGTTGAAAAAGAAGACTGCAGAGAAGAGAATGAAATGGAGACGTGCTACTGAAGCCCTATGTTCCACTAGGAACCCAGAGGGCAAATATTAAAAGTAATAACATGGATATCACTCGCTGACCTATCCAAACTCAAACAAACTAACTAGAGGACGATTCTGCCAACTATCGTAGTTTATCTAACCACAACCACTAGGTAATCGTTTAACTTAGTAGATACTGTGACCAGAAGTAACAAAGCTCACACAAACACATTTAAGTTTAACTTTCATCGCCATAACTCTTAACTTTCTTTAGTAGAATATGTGAAAGAGTAAAGGCAACTCAAATTAAAGAGAACTAACAGTAATTCCCCCATCTTTTTAAAGTGGAAACTGATAAGCCGAAAACTCGGATTATTGATCAACTTGTAATTCTTCTAGGGACTGAATGCATCGACTAACTGGTCTACAGCGCTTCTTTGAATACACTAAATGACAATATTGATTACTTGCTTTGAATAAAGTCACATAGCAGGTGTACTTAAGATAAATAATTTATAAATTTATTTTCAACTACTCGCAAGTAGACTGAAGATTTATAAAACAAAAAATCGAAGCATAACACGATTATGTGCCAAGCTGAGCAATGACTGACTTTTGTACGAAGTTCAATGACAATCGAATATATTTCACATGAAATATGCATCGCTAAGTCAGAAACTGCCTTTCTTTTCAGTAGCAGAAAACAGAGTCACATACTTGTTCACTAAATAACGAATTGATTCATTTACAGAGTAACTTACTATTTGATAATAATCTGAATGAAGTTTCATGTACACAGTGATAGAAATGGTCGCAAATCGGTCACAATGATGCAGATATGTAATTCAGCATTCGATGTCACATAAACTTTGAACACTTTAACTGAGCCTTATTCTCAAATTCCTTCTCCTCCAATGCACTTTTGTCCACTTTGATATCATACTTGCATACTATTATGGAGTGTAGCAAATGGAACACCGATGCACTCAGTGGCAAATTTCCACTTTGGTTTTTTCTGCGTCTCTGTTTAAAATATTATAGTTAGGCTAGGAAAACTAGTGGACAAAATAACCTGTATTTGGAACTGGATAATTTGTTAGAACCATCAGTAAATTTCAACTTTTTGGTTTAAATTCTCAGATTGCTAGTACCTTCACCAAATTCTCTGCGATTCACAAGTATAAAACTCACATATAACGGTCAGAAATATTACCATATGACCTGGTAAACAGATTTTGATAGGGTCTCAGTATCAGACTAGGAAATAAATTAATGTTTGGTGGACTGAATATAAACTGCATCCTAATTAGCCTTTATAATATATACATAATCTAATACACGCAATTCCCGTCATTTTTCGGAACCTGACAACATACAACTTGCTTAGCCATCGGTCATAGATGAATGATGACCTCCCAGTGAAGTGATAAACAATTAGCTTTGAGATGAGTGTGTGTGTGTGTGTTTGCGAGAGAGAAAGAGAGACAAAGAGTTTCCTTGATATTGCAAGTAAGTCTAGCAAGCGAGACAACTACTTTGGCCTGAGAAACGTAGCCATTCTATTCTAATATCATATTTAGATTGATTTTAGGACTAAAGATTCAACAATAGATAAACAAAATGAACAACTATTACGTGAATAGCAACATTACTTACCTTCGAGCAATTCTAGTCGTTAGACTACGGAAAAATCGTCCTGGACGAGATTGCATAGATACACCACTTTTCTGCACAATAGGAGATGGAGTTTCTACCGTCATAGAAGAATCTGAAGAATTTTTCAATTCAGAAGAACGATTTAAAGCTTGGTGAGGATCAATCTTCTTCGTTATCATCGGTGATAGATGTTTACCTCCTGTAGATGTTATATTACTATTATTGCTGTTAGCAGTAGTAGAAGTTGTATTATTTGGTCGATGACGTACTGACCACTTGATGAGTGAATCTCTTGTAGTGGTTGCTGTACTTGTGGGTAATTTGAATACAGGAGATTTAGGACAGACTTTATCATTTTCATCATTATTAACATTTAACGGTGTATCAAGTGCCTTAAAAATTGAATCTGGGATACCGATTTGATGATTAGGAGACTTATTATTATTATTGTGTTGTTGTGGTTGTTGACTAACTTTTGTAGAGTCCATTGTACCTGATGATGAAGCACCCAGTGTTGAAGAAGGACTGTCAGTAAATGTTGATGATGCAGACTGATTTGATGAGATTTTAGTTTTACTGACACCAGATCGATTTGGGTCATTATGATGAATTTTATGCCGATCATTAGGATCCAAGACATCGATAATAGAATTAGGATCAGTATTCACAAGAGCTTTATTATTGGCTAACAATAATTTTGTATTATCCTTTGGACGTCTTCGATGGGGAAGTGTTCTGAACAATAGAATAATTAACGAGAAAAACAATTACTAAAAAACCATACTATATGGTATAACTCATACGTAGTTGATTAAACAAAACAGAGAATTTTTTTTCAAAAGCATTTCGATTAATGAAGTCAAGTAAACAAGAATGTCCACCATGAATTTTATACATTTGTGTGAGATATAGTGAGTTTAGGTGTAAACGGATTTGTGAACTGGTAGAATTTAGACGATAATGAAAAATGTTAGATAAGCAGAATATTTCAATAAGATTTCGACATGATAATAAACTTCGAAATGAAAAAAAAAAACACAAGGAATATGAATTGAATATTCCTGATAACTCTGATGTCTTCTGAAGTCAGTTAAACAGTGATCGAGATGGCACAATATGTAAATCATCTCTTTTGTTATTGACAGTTTATAACGAAATATGAAAGCGAAATAAGCAAAACAAGATTAATACCTTCACTAGTAAATAGAATAAGCTAAGTAACAAAAGAGAGGCAATAGAGAAAAGTATAGGCAACATATAAATATAGGAAAATAAGCTTCGGATCTAATTACCTCATTGAAGCTGATTTTCAGCTATGTCCACTGAAATCACTTATGAGCAATGTCAGCTGTCTTACAAGCCCAGTATACATGAAGTCCACAGTTGACTTACAGGCTGAAAATCAATGACTAGAAACTTATTATTTTTCCTTTGGGTTCCTAATGGAACATAGGGCTTCAGTAGCACGTCTCCATTCCACTCTCTTCTCTGCAGTCTTCTTTTTCAACCTGGCTCCACAACTGCCAACAAACTTTCATTTCTTCCTCATTTGATCTCCTCCAAGTCACTTTCGCCTTGGACGCCCAACTCGTCGTTTCCCATTTGGGTCCCACTCGACGGTCTTGCCTGGCCTGGAGCGTGATGTCCCCAATCGGTCTTCTCAGTGTATGTCCGATCCAATCCATCTCCATTTTCTTCTGCTGCATATTTGTTGAGTGATAGGTTCTTGATTGGTTCGTTGCCCTGCCAGAATTCCTTGTTGCTTATTCTCGTTATTCTGACCATCCGGTCTTCAAGTATCGAGCGGGCGTAGGCAGCTGTTGATGATGTATGTCTGTAGTTTGTTGGAAATGTTTTTCGTAACGCGCCAAGTCTCTCAACCACCACATAGAAGCACTGACTTGACTGAATTAGTGTTGAAAATCGGGATCTTGTTCAGGTAGGTTCGAATGGTACCCTAGTCCGAGCCATACTGAGAATCGTACACAGGTTTTCGGACGTTTCTTTCTTATGTGTCAACAATATAGATGCCATGAATTCCTTCTCAGTCGTGTTGCAAGCTTCGCCGCCTAAATCACTACTTCTCCTGTTTCCATGAATACTTATGAATTTGTGAATAAATTTAGGAGGATAGTTATAAAAAGTGAATAATACTGCATCACTGTGTTGTGACGTAACACAGGGTTACAGTCTCCCATAGCGTCTAATTTCTATACTTACATAAGTTTCAAAGCATTGTGGTTAGTGATGTGTCCTTCGTGTCAATAAGGGGTACACAACAGAAAGGAGTACCACATGTCAACTAACCCCGAAATGCGAGGGAAAATATGGTGTTAGTAAAAAACAGAAATCTGTCTAGGTGATCAGTCGACAATACTGATCAACAAAAAAGTCATGTAAGACAAATCACAATAGAGTTTAATAGGTAAAACAGATGCGTTTGTTTAGTGCCCAAACTTTGACAAGTGTTAAGTCACGGGATGATCACGATATCGTATAAATAATTTAGGCTATCTGTAAGATGATCGTGAAATACAGGAAAACAAACAAACAAACCGAAAGAAATCCCAATTACAATGTGACGACATAGAAAAACACACACGTCTCGAAATACATATACACATAATGAGGATATTTTTATCTGCATATAGACAGGAAGGCGTGAACATAAGTGTGATACGGCGAGAAATGCATACCGTAATTTAAAGATACATTTTATAGTGAGTGAGAAACACCGGACCTGTATGGTGCATTGTGACAGAACACGGTTTATCAATACATAAGGGGATTAAAATAGTGAATAGGGGATAACTTTGAAAAACAGAAGACCCACCAATAATCATACAGAGCTATTTAAGTCATTTACAGATCTTTTAATCATGTTGGTGGATTGTACTTTTCAGCGAAAATGGGAATAAACAGTATCGTGATTCCTGTCAATATCGAATTTAAACCTACAGACAAATTTATTCTCACCAATTCATCTGCCTACTGACGATTATACAGTAACAATACCAATTACCATATAAAAGATAGATGAGGCTCATTCGTTTAGGCAATTGACTTTCAACCAATGGGTCACAGGTTCGAAACCCGCTTCCACTAAGAACGTTTGGATAGTCACATAGTGTTATTAGCTCTCACATAATATGTGTGATTCATTGTCTACTGCACGAATGTGAGAAAGATTACTGAGTGTGCTTGAATTCGATCATTTACGAGTCAATTGGTGTTAAACACTATTTGCATAGACTAGATAACAATATTTCGAACTGGAATACTGGATGTCACCAATTAGAAAACACGAAGATTACTCTGAGTACTATCACACTGAGTGGTCAATGCTAAAAAGCGTTATGCCATTTTATCAATACCATAGAACACCATTTGAAGATGTTGAAAAATACTTACGAAAGTTTTAATGTCATACTATTTGACGTAGTGTCATCACCATTAAAATGTCACTTATCTTTAGGTGCTTCAACGCTGATAATAATCCATTACCGGTAAAAAAGAATATACAAAAGAGAATCAACGGAGTCCAATACACTCTACAAGAGTTATACAGTTGCACTTATTTTTTAACAAAATCTGTCTGAAATTAATGTATTTATCAAGTCATAGAAAAAAGAGTAAAATAACAGAAGATAGATTGCATAACAACATATTATCAACACTACCGCCTATCACAAATGCAGACATATATATACGCAAATATATATATATATATATATATATATATATATATATATATATATATATATATATATATATACAACGCCCACACTGTTATAACACATTCAGATGTGTCATATTAAAAACAATCCTGGTGAAATAAATATAATTTTTCTTGGAACAGAAATTGTAACAAGCAGAAGAAAAGAAATAGTAAAGGTCGTTCGATGAAAGACAATAACAAAAATGTAACAAAATCATTATTAAAGTATGCGAGCGCGTGCTTGCTTACACCACATAGTTATTTATTGATGTTTACCAGTATATTCTGGCTGATTCAAACTAGAGCCAGCAAACAGTTAACTTTAACCTGAATTTTATGCTAGATGGTTTAGTCATTAGCTAGTACCTTGACGTGGTAATTGGGCTTGCATATCAAAATGACCCAGCGAGCTATACTGGCTGTACTGTTGGTTGGCTGGGGTGTGACAGTAGTAAAGTGTTTCTCTTGGATGACCAGGACTGCGATGCTTATGATATCTTTCCTGTGGGAGTGAGGGTTATAAGACGTCACCCACCGCCACACACATCCCATTCTGTACCACGATTTTTCGGTGCTGAAGGTATGAGTTTTCTTCCTCTGGTGCTAGAACAGTCGAATCTCAAAACAACAATTCCTACGTCTACGTCGTAGATGCAAACACATGCTGATTGGATACGATCACATTAGCTAATAGAATGTCTAAAAAATAGTGGTTTCACTTCTCAATCAACATTTCGAGGTACAGAAATACAAACATATAAGCTACATCATTCACGAAGGTTAGGCGACTCAAAATATAACGGAGCAGTTGAAGTCAGTAAAAATGTAAAAGGATATGGGAGGAGGATAAAAAAAAATGAATGAAGACCGATAGACATCAGGTAATTAAAACTGAGTGACTATGATCGATTTCCAGTTGTATCAACAACGTTCTTTAACTACTAACACTTATAGTCTTGAAGGCTAATAGAGAAATTAAAACCTTTCAACACGGATAGAATCGAAAGATAAAGATTACATGAATTAATGCGATTTCTCAGTTGTAATGAAGGTAACTCGGTAGTGTAATGGCTAAACGTTTCTTAGCATTTGGCAGAAAGCTTAGTTCATTTGGACTGAGATTATCAGGAACATGAAAGGCAGCAAGAGACGAAAAGATGCAAAGGTAGTTTATCTAGGGAATGAATTAAAAAGTCAGTCAGTCAGTCAATATCGATGTACGACAGGACATTATTAAGTAACAGTCTAAGCTGCCATATCCTTCATCAGAACAGTTAGGAAATGAACACGGAATATGCATACCTGATCAACTAGATGATTTGCCTTTATAAATCCCATCTATAGTCACAACTAGGAAATCAGATTGCTCTGCTCAAAATTCATAGTGATAACAACGATGTAACGCGTTCAGAGCACTAAAGATAATCATTCACTGTCGACTGTAATTACTTCATCAGTTCTGTGAATATTGCATAATTTATATGATTGTCTTACTCTATTTAATCACTTACAATACACAGATGTACACAGGCTTCTTTTCATTCCTTAAAAAAAAAAAAACTCGACAGTTTTCATACACAACAAATAGTAAATAACCTTTTCAACTAGTTAGAATTAGAGCTAACTTGTACTATTCTCTGATGAATCAATAATTCAAGCATATTTACCAGTTTTGTTTCAATATACACATATCAAGTGAATTATTTAACTGACATACAGGAAAAAAGCATTTTGCATACTGCATAGAAATATATACAGGAATATGCTAAAAGTCATCTCTTCGTGTAACTATTGAAATTTCTCATATATTCTAATTTCTTAATTTTTTTTTCTTTTTTAGTGAGATGATTGTACTAAAAAAAAAAGATAATTTTAAAGCCTTGAAATATTAAACATAATCATATACAATAAAGATGTACTGGGATAATGTATAAATTTGAAAGAGTTGTGTCATATCAGATTTATTTTTTAAACTATTTTGACGTCACAATTATAAACACGAGGATACACAGACAGA